ACTTGAAGCCTCCATGCGTGAGGAACCACCCCACGGCACCGTGCTGCAGGAGGGCCCGCTGCTCGACCCAAAAGTCGCAGATGAGTCCCTTGCCACTATCGTTCACATGCTGGATGAGATCTGCGGGGAGGGAAGCCATTTGTCCTCCGAGGGAGAAAATGAATGGAAAGGGGCGCTCGAGGGTGAGTAGAGTGTCTAGGAGTGCCTCGACCAGCTGCGGCGTTGCGACGGGGAAGAAGAACGACCTTGGAGAACAAGATGAAAAATCAGGAGTCGGGAGGAAATAATCAAGAATGAACGCGCCCGAAGGAGATGTACAAGACAGACTTGAGTCCATACTCTCTCACCACTCGGTCCAAGAACGACCTGACGCGTTCGTCGGAAGGCACCACAGCGGCGCTGTCCGAGTCCGTCCAACACAGCTCATGCGCCTGCATCCCAACCGCAAAGAGCTCCTGCCCACGTTTCGTATACAACTCCCGGCAGTACGGCACGCCCACAGGCTCGAGGCAATGGCTCGTGGTAACGATAAACCCATCGACCGCCCTCGCGAGCTTCTGGCCCTGCATAAATATGCTTGCGAGCGGACGGCCGGCGGCGTATGCATGCCGCTCGTGGTCGTACATGTCGGGTGCGCCGGGGAAAGTGATTACGCGGCCGGAGAGCTTGTCGGTGCCGTTTGATGCTTCGACGACCTGTGTTTGAATTTACTTAGTTTACAGCTAATCGTGACGTGGATCCTGCTGAGGACGAACGTATGGGAACAAACCTGCTGCACGATATTCTCCAGCGAGCGCCCATCCCGCCTCACAGGATCAGCGTAAAACCCTTCCGCGATTTCCAGAAAATCGTAGTCGCTCAGATGCGCCGGCATTGAAGAAACGGGAGAAGACCACCACAGGAGGATCTTGCACGCGGGACCCAGGATCCATTTTGTGGGCTCGATAACCGAGCCGCCACAAGAGAAGTCGAACTGCGGAGGAAAACAACGATTTAAGGAGCAGAGAAATGAAGAGAACCCGACGCACGTGGACAGCGCGGGGTTTAGGCCACCCTTCACTTCCCTCCGCTAATCGAACAATGGTCTCCGTCCATCCGCGGACGAGCTGTTCTGTCGCTACCTTGATCATAGATGCTCCGAAATCCATGCTACGAGGTTGAACTCGATTAGTGTTTAGTACATAGGAATAGTGGATTAGGCACTGCACGCACCCTGCGTCGCCGACACCGATGATTCGAAGGCGTGCCTTCAAGTTGTCGCGTAGTCCCTTCAACTCCGCCTCCATCTTGGGGACTACACAAGCACAATTATTGTTATAAGTTAAAAAACAGTGCGAGGGATGTATGCGCATACCGATGAGGTTATGCTGGACAATCGTAATAACAAGCCCAGGTTCCGTGGCGAGCATCTGCGTCACGGCGTGCATGTAGCTGATGGTGTGTCCCCAGGCGGGGAGGAGCATCGCGGCGATGTGGTGCGTCGGGGTCGGGGTAGCCATCCGGATGGGATTCTAGAGGGGAGTATTGGGGACGATGAAGGAAGGCGTGAGTGTAGTATTGCGAACCCAAAGAGTGATTCAGCCTAAATACTCGCGGTCGACGCGCGCGAATCAATCAATGAACGTGGCCGGCCATGGCGAATAGGTAAGCGTACGTTCGCCTTTTGCTTCAAGAATCGAGATTCATCATAACTTGACTGTGGAGGGATGTGAAAATTGGTAAGCATCGCAGACTCAGTGCGACTAAAAGCGGATTACACGCACAAAGATGGAGTGTTGATCCGCGGGCGATAATTCAGTTGCACACTTGATATCGATCTGGGAAAACTAGAAACGATTGCTCAGCTGGAAGTACCACGAAGTATCCTCGCGTCAGCTTGACTGCGTTGTATAAGCGGAAGATTTCGGGACATCTAGGAAAGATGGCTATAAAAAGGTTTTTCGACCCACGGAAGTCGGCAGAAGTTTTAAAACTTGGCATAATTCCGCTTATATATGACGGTCTCCAGGTTTGTAAGACTTGCGACCGTGGACAAACACGTATTTCTCATCGCGGGATTTGCGTCAAGTTGTCAACTTGTCCCGACACCTGAAATGTTTCGGTCTGTCATTTGCTTGTCTGTTCTCGCCTCTCTTCAGCCCGGGCGCCCTCCTTCGATGCAAATGAACGAACATATGCATTATACATTTACGAATGAGTGATGCTGTTTTCTAGAAGTCAGAGTGTATCAAGCCCATCCCCCGCCGGTTACGACATGCGATAGACGCACCTCCATCTCAAACCGCCTCGCCACCGCCCCCGAGCATGTAAACACCGCCGCGCCGTTCCCGAACGAGTTCGCTTTGGGGGACGCGTCGGGCGTGGGGACACACAGGACGCACATGACGGGGTCGAAGGTCCCTTCTCTGGCGGACGCACGAGCGTCAGCATAAGCTTAATACAGCGGGACGCAGAGGACGTTGATAAAAGAGGGAGGGAGCCCCAAACTCAGGTATACACCCCACCTCCCCCTCCGTCCCCGCCTCGATCTAAATAATCATCGCGCCCACAAAGTTGCCCTCGGGGTACCCCGGCACGCGCACCCCGCGGCCGTCGAGGAAGAGTTTGGCCTTGCCGGGCGCGTGCTCAGCAGAGGCGCTCGATGCGCGCGCGCGCGGCGGGGGTGGTTAGGGCGCCGCTGAATTGAGAGGTGGTTCATTTGAATGGAATTGGGGTTAGTTAGCGTTGGTTGAGAATTAAATTGGATCAACGCCATTTGGAGGCAAGGGGGGAGTAGCGAGGAAGGAAAAGCGAACAACTCACAACTCCGCCCCCTCCTCGAACCTGGTTCACCTTGAGCTTCCCTGCGCGCGCGACGAGCTCGGGGATGAACGTTTGCGCCGCGCCGACGAAGACGGCTGTGTAGTGGCGTTGGGTCAGTATTCAGGATCCAGTATCCAGTATCCGTATTTAATCATTAATATGACAGTAATCGTTGTCTCGTCGAACACTGCGGCAAGGTGGCAACAGCAAGAAATAAAGCGACGGAAGCAGAGCAAAGAAAGGAAGGAAGGAAGGAAGAGAAAGAAAGGAAAGAAAGCAGAGCAAGGAAGAAAGAAAGGAAGGAAGGAAAATTTAAATAACCAAACACAAATCACCACTTACCAACCGAAATCGCGATACACCGCTGGCCCGCCGCCGCACGCAGCCCCAAGCAAGGCATTCTGCGCCTGACTCTTGTTCGCGTCCGGCACGACGACCGCGTGGTTCTTTGCGCCCATGTTGCACTGTGTCCACCCATCCGTTATTCACACAGGGAAAAGGTATAGAAGGCCACCGCACCTGCACGCCTTTCCCGTGCTTCGTGCCCCTGCATGAAAAAATTCACACATACTCATACCTTAGTAGTACCTTATGAGCTTTAATTAGGCACGCACAGCTCATATATATGTCGCCCCGCGCTATTCCCGCCGACGAAGCTGAGGGCGCGGATGAGGGGATGCGTGCAGAGGGCGTTGACGGTGGGGACGGTGCCGTGGACAACGTTGAGCACCGGGGGGAGGCCTGCGGGGCGGTACGGGAGTATGTGTGTGCGTGGGTGGGATATTTAATTGTGTAGAGGGGGATAGTGGATAGAGGGTGGAAATGGATAAAAGGAGGAGGGCAGTTGGGAGCAAGGGAGGGGGGAAGAGTAAATCGATTGGAAAGAAAGGGAAAAGGAGCAGGAAAGCGGTGGAAATGCGCACGCACCGCGCGGACACACAACTCGGCGATGATCATGGTCGCGCGCGGGATCGCTCTCGGAGGGCTTGATGAGGAGGGCGTTCCCCGCGACGAGCGCGAGATGGATCGTCGACAAGGGGATCCTGCTGGCGTTTAACATATGGAAGGGTAACTCATACAAAGCAGTATGGGCGCGAGACGACTCGCGCAGGGAAGTTGAACGGCGCGATGTTGCATATCGTTGCAATTGAATTTCGTTGGCCAATACAGAAATCAGAGGGAATGGACGCACCTGGCGCACACGCCCAACGGGACCTTCCTCGTCTCGGTGTCCATGTCCTTGCTGACTTGGAAGTTCTCGCCCATGGGCATGGTGGATGGTGCACGCAGTTTCGACGACCTGCAGCCCGCGCACGTCGCCTTGGGCGTCTGTGCGAAATCGGCATGATATCCTATTCAGTAATGGAGGGTACGAGGAGTGGCACACCGGGGAAGGTCTTGCCCTGCTCGAGGACGATCGCGGTCGCGATGGTGTCCATGTTCTCGCAGATGAGTGCCTACAGCGTGCGTCATATCAATATTATTGTTCCCGGCCGTGCAGGTGCGACGCACTCGAGGGCAAAGCACCGCTTCTTCAGCACGCTCGTCTTCTTCCATGTTTGGAACACCCTGGCCGCCGCTTCGACGGCGCTCTCGAAGTTCTCGGTTCTCGTCTCTGGCACGCGAGAGAGCAGTGTTTGCGTCGCCTGTATCCATATGCATCGTGTTCCTTCAGTCGTTGGGGTTAGGAAAAAGGTTGGATGAGCGCACCACGCACCGGGTCCAAAACATCAATCCACGTCTCCATCTTGCTCGCCTGAAACTCGTCGTCGATAAAGTTCTTGGTCGTCCCTCGAGGAAGTTCGTGCCCTTCCGTTGCGTGAGAGTTCCTCTGCGCGATCGAGGGAGGAGGCGTTGAGGGCGGGAATTGTTAGGTCGTTGGTGTATCCTTGGCGCATCTTGGTTGCATGCACAGAGGGAGGAGATTGAAAGCAGCACCCGGATCAAAAGGAAGAATCTCGAAACATGTGACGCGGTCACGAGACTCGTTGCACAAACCAAATAATAATGTGTTTCGACGTGCCCACCTGTATGAAATATAGCGTAGGCGGGTAGAGTGAAGAACACGTCCGCTTCCCTTTGCTTGAGAAATCGGCTGGCATGAATACTTGATGGTGCTTGTGAATTTAAACTTCCAAATCACAATCCAACATATTCGAATCACACAGGCTATGAAGGTCTGACAATGTACCAATCAAGCCGTCGTGGGCCGCGGAGGACCACCCCCATGAAATGAATTTGACCTCAGCTTGATCTGGTGAGGGGGAGCCGGTGGTTCGATTCCACCCGACGGCGTGTGGGACGGGAACGCTACTTTTTGGCGTTCCGCAAATCAGGCGAATGTTTTATTGGTTGGGTGATTATATCCTTGCATGTATAGGTCACCGCTCGGGTTGACTTTGGCCCAAGTACCAATATTTCCTTTATGTTACATACTTGAACTGGACTCATCCCAATCGACACTACCTCCAGTCCTCAATATTCGCCTGGAATAAGAAATGCAGCCGTCGTGGCCCGTGGAGGCCGCCCCTACCCAATAGGCTTTCCTCGTTGATCTTCAAAAGGGGAGCCGGTGGTTCGATTCCACCCGACGGCATTCTTAGGTGGCGGATTATATTTTTCTAACAAATATCAGGCAGGTCCTTTCTAGCATATCCAACCTCCAAAGCGATACGAATTAGGTTCACTCTCTTGGTGATCAATTGGTCATTCAACTCTGCTCCCAATCGAACCAAGTCTAAATACATACTATCCAGGCCCAATATCTAACCAGTGGCCAAAATCTAACGGCAAGGTCCAAGCCACTTCAGTTAATGAAGGCCCGACACTATACGTGCAACGAATTTGTCTCTGTGATCAATTGAGCAGGCCCCTTCCAATCAAACCCCTCAGCTCGCAACACAGTATGGCCTACTGGTCCCATAGGCAAAGACATAAAGTCGTCGTAGGCCGTGGGGGGTCGCCTTCAACAATCAAGTCTTTATTCAAGTGCAAGGGGAGGCGGTGGTTCGAGCTCACCCGGCGCCGTGTTCAACCAGCCCGCTGACCGATTTTTGGGGGTTTCATGTCTTAAATCTGGTAAACTTTGGTTGGTTGGTGGAGATGCAATTTGATTTTGTGTTACATATCCCTGTAAATACAGGCCACCATTCAGGTTGATTTTGGCCTACTCAAGTACGAACATTAAGGTTTGCTCTACGTATCCGAACTGAACATCGCCCATCCTAATCGAAATACCTACATACAGTGCACAATATTCTGGAGGATATGGGTATGGGCATACCAGTGGTTCGAATCCACCGTACGGCATTCGGTGTTCTTGTGGTGAAAGAAAGGGTTTTTGGTTCTTGTCCATGGCCAGCCAGCCGACTGGTTCCGCAGGTAGTTTTTGTTCTTCTGCAACTCAATCCGAGTGCGGAATTCCCAGCCTCCTAGGTGGGTCTGGTCGACGATGGCTGATATGCTTACAGGTAATATCCAAACCATCGGGGTATAAACTCCCAAAGGCGAGGGAGAAAGCCCTCGTAAGCCGTAGAGGCCACCTCTATCAAGTGCACGATTTACAAGCCAATTGAGAGGGGAGCCGGTGGTTCGATTCCACCCGACGACATCCATCATGAAAATCAACGGCTTTTTTATTTCAAAAACCAGCAGATGCGTCTCAGGTCTTGGTTCATTCGTTCATGTATCCGGGCCCGCAGAGAAAAGCAAAAGGTGGCTCTGCTTGTAATACATTTACATGAACTCTCGGGCACTTCAATCGGCCTCATACATTCCACAAAATTTAACCTCATGGAGTATCCAACAGTGTGCAGGTGAAGCAGTTAAGCCTTTTTGGGCTCCCCCCGACCAAATACAATTTTTCAGTGCCAATGAAGGTGGAGCCGGTGGTTTGAATCCACCCCGCGGCATTCCCAATTCAAAATTACATTTTTATTTGGCTGTTTCGTGCCGTCCCAAATCAGCCCTCCCCTTGAGTGGTATATATGTAGCACATCAAAGAGTGGGTGAGTCTTTGTGATGACGGGTTATAGAGTCGTGCACTATTAGCATGCCCAGAGGCCCTATGAAGGGAGGTTACCAATCTATGCACTCTATGCCACTATGCACTATATCGTACTTTAGCTTAGTCAGTGTTCCGCGGAACGCACAGCTTCATGTATTAGATAAGCAATTCAATCTAACCTGGTACTTGCATAGAGCTCTGCTCCCTGTGACAAGTATGGCTCAGAGCTCAAGTCCTCATTGTGTTTTCTTTGCATGAACTCCTTAGTGTGTTTTTCTGTGTTTTGTAACCATCACGTTCTTTTCATGCACGTGTGCACGAAAACCTGATTGCATCAAACCTCTCGTCATTATGTTTTTTTGACCCACACCCAGAGGACATGTTTTTTTCGGGATACAACACATTTTTTTGATTTATTAGACAGTATACTAGAGAGCTTGCGCAGAGCCACCAGGAGTCACCTGGTGGCTTATCAGGCATGCGCGAACTGGTGGCTGGTGGCTGAACTAGTTTCGCTTTCAAACACATACTGCAACTGCATTCTCCTTCTTTTTGAGCTAAAGTATCTCCCCAGTGTATCTGAAAGGATGAGCTAGAGTATTTAACTCTGTGGGCTTGCTTTTAATTGTGTTACACAAATTTGTTCAGGGATTTTAGGCTACAGAATAAGGTTCTGCAAAATCCACTCAAGCAAGGTCATCAACATGGTCAAGGAGGAGCTTCACGCAGAATGAAAGCAAAATTTATTAGCCACCAGATAGCCACCAGATGGTATAGCCACCGGTTTGCGCATGCCTGATGAGCCACTAGGTGGCTTCTGGTGGCTCTGCGCAAACTCTCTAATTGGCCGACCACAGTGAGTAAACTTGTGTATTTTCGAGCATCTGTAAGGGCAACCTCAGCTCGGCGCGGGAGCGTGGGAACTAGGGGAGAATCCGAAGAGAACTCAATTCACAGTACTAAATACAGGGTTCTAGAATACGCACCTAGCGGGAGAATCCAAAGGGAAGAAAGGATAAGGATTCCCACGCTAGGCGAGGTTTTTATAGGTACTAGCCAGCAGCACGTGTCCGAAGTGATCGGCAGTGGTCCCGAGCTTGATCACATAGCACGTTCCAGTGCGAGCGACTGGACGAGGGGGAACAGAGGGGAACGGAGTCCGGAGGGACAGGGGACGATGTTCCGGGCGGAGGTGCAGCCTGAGGTTCTGTACGGAAGGCCGGACGGTCGGGCGAGGCCGGACGCGAGAGGGGCGTTGGGCGAAGGATCGGATGAGGCAGTGGGGCAGTGGGATGGGCCGGAGCCGGACGGACGGAGGGACGGAGGGACGAACGGGCGGTTCCCCTGACAGCATCTGACAATTAGCTGAAGAGGTCTTCCATGACACCATGAAGCCTGGAATTCCCCAGATCATTGCAATGCTCGCAGACAGTGCTAGGAATGTCCACTATTCTGCCTCTTGCACATTAGGGAAACTGGTCTACCATCGTAGGTCAATCAATTTGGATCTCTAACAATGAGTTGTAGCCGTCTTCCATGACACTATAAGGCTTGGCATTCCCCGGCTCATTGAGATGCTAAGGGACAGTCAATCCAGTGCTGGGGGTGCATTCAGGGATTTGATTGACCATTGTACGTGAATCCTTGTGTATTTTCATGCATCTGACAATTCATCGAAGATGTCTTCCATGAAGCCATGAAGCCAGGAATTGCACAGATCATTGCAATACTCACGGACACTGATCAGGCTGTCCGGTATTCTGCCACAATGATATTTGGGAAACTGGTCCATCATCATAAGGGGCTGGGTGAAAATGATGTGATTGACGTGGCACTGCCGCACAACGTTCAAGTCCTTCCAAACATCTTCTCTGATGTCAATTTAATGTGGGATGAGCTTTATACATGTAAATACATCACCTGGGTCCAAAAAATATGTTGTAATATTTTGTTATACATGATTGAATAGGGTATCCCAATCTTTGCCTAGATTGTGTATTGTGTTGGATTTGCGGGTCAAAACTCGTAAACTGGTGGCAAGTAAAATCATTTCTATCAAGTAAAGTTCGAATACACAAGAAGAGAAGCTTCAATGCGAGGTGAACATCTGGATTAATGAATTTCAAATTATAAGATCAGTGTTCCACTCCACTGATACTACTTGATTTCTGGTTCAAAGGTGGGTGGATATAGGGGTGAAAGAAGAAATCTTCCACATTCAGACCATCTCACATGAGAACACCGAGCCAAATGAGTGACAATGTGGCTGCTCCATGCACAATTGGTTACATCAGTGGCTGTGCTTCTGCTGCGGAAAAGGGGAGAAATGACACGCAGCCTCCACTTCCACTAACACCTATCTCTTCCCCTGAAAATCGAGCCGTTTGGATGTTTTGAAATCTAAATGCATTGTTTGGACCACTTGAATTCCAAGAAATACTTTCCAATAGCCATGGTAAAGCCTATCCCTAAGTTTGACTAGACCATTATTATTAGCCTGCCAATCATGTCTAGGTTGTTCTAATATGATTGTATTCAAAGTACAAAAGAAGCATCTAATGATAGGTATTTCCAAATTGCAAGCTGCACTTTGCCATATCCCCCTGATATTGTGTGGTAGCGTGCTAAACATGTTGGCTGTGGCATAATAAACACTGTTTTGAATGGCAGAGGAAAGCAGATGGTGGGGAAAAGATTTGAAGGAAGCAGAACGCACTTGTCTTCTTGCTTTTGTGCGTACCTTGAGCGCGCGACTGGAGAAAGCGAAATATGTTCTCGAATCATGGACCAGTGTGACATCACGCTCTGGCTAGCCTGAGCGTGATGTCACACCCCGCCCTTCCGTAGATTAAACTTTCCACAATGGTTCGGACCACAAAATTCGCAGCGGACAACCCCCAAGTGTTTTAATTCCATGTGTATGACACCCTTTGAGTGCGTCTGGAAGACGTATGAAGCGCGACTCACCAAACTTCTTCACATAGGGCACCTCCCAGTACAACTTCATTCAAACTTGCTGCTCACCACTACCCTGCTTCATTTATTATGGCTTTCGAACTGGCGGCCGCTTCGAGTATCCGAACCTGATCACATTGGCGACGACGTAACAATAACCCCCACCCACACCGTCGGTCGCGGACGACAATGCGTTGACAGTGCTAGCGAAAGCGCCGAAAGACGATATGCTTGTACTGGTCAGTGCGATTGGGTGCGCCAACCATTACTTATTTATTGGGTTTGCACGTACATACCATGCGACAATGGTAGCAGTAAGAGACAGAGTTGTGAA